GTTGAAGACGTTAAATCAGTGTGATGAGAATATAGAGCGTGTGGCCCGATTAGAAAGTGATAATTCATCATTATCAAAGCAGCTACAAAACGCAACGGCGGAGCTAGCGGCAACATGTTTTAAGAAGGCTAAAATAGAGAAGCACTTGTCGGCCCAAATGATGGAGTTGGAGGACCTTTACACAAAGCAATACGATGCTGCATCTACCATTGAAGAAGAGAAGCGAATGCTGGCAAAAGAATTATTGAATTTAAAGAGTAGTCAGTTGAAGGCGCTTTATCAGTGCGAAGAGAAAATAGATCTTGTGGCCCGTTTAGAAAGTGACATTTTGTCATTATCAAAGCAGCTACAAGCAGCTACGGCGGAGCTCGAGGCATCATGTATTGAGAAGGCTATAATAGAGAAGCGCTTGTCGGCCCAAATGATGGAGCAGAAGGATTTTCAGGCAGAGCAATACGCTGTGGTAGCCGCTATTGAGGAAGAAAAGCGTATGCTGGCGATTGAAGTATCTGCTCTGAAGCTTAGTGAGCTGGAGGCGTTGGCTCGGTGCAAAGAGAAAGACGAATGGTTGGTTCAACTGGAAGATAAGTTGCTGATATTGTCGACGCGGTTACAAGCCTCCGAGACGAAGCTGAAGGAATCAAGCTTTGATACAGGTGACGAGATAAACTCAGCGCGTACCGAGATTTCAGCTCTTAAGGAGCGCTTGGCGGCTTATGAAATGCAGCTGGAGGAGCGTCAAGCGAAGCAGTACGCCGCGATGGCCGACATTAAGGAAGAGAAGCACTTATTGATGATGGAGGTGTCTGCTTTGAAGAGTAGTAAGATGGAAGTATTAGCTCAGTGCGAAGAGAAAAATAAGCGTGTGGCTCAGCTTGAGAGTGAACTGTCGTCGTCTTCGAAGCAGCTACAAGCTACCATGGCAGAACTGGAGACATTGACACTGAAAGCAGAAAATAAGCTAAGAGCATTGCGAACGGAGAGATCTGTATTTGAAGGTCGTTTGTCGGCTCAAATGTTGCAGCTGGAGGATCTCTACGCAAAGCAGTACGATGCTGCAGCAACTACCGAAGAAGAGAGGCGCATGTTGGCAAAAGAGGTATCGAGTTTAAAGATTAGTCAGTTGAAGGCGCTAACTCAATGCGAAGAGAAGATAGAGCGTGTGGCCCGTTTAGAAAGTGATAATTCATCATTATCGAAGCAGCTACAATCCGCAACGTCGAAGCTCGAGGCATCATGTATTGAGAAGGCTGTAATAGAGAAGCGCTTGTCGGCCAAAATGATGGAGCTGGAAGAGCTTCAGGCAGAGCGATGCACTGCGGTAGCTGCCGTCGAGGAAGAAAAGCGTATGCTGGCGATTGAAGTATCTGCTCTAAAACGTTGTGAGCTGGAGGCGTTGGCTCAGTGCAAAAAGAAAGACGAATGCTTGGTTCAACTGGAAAATAAGCTGTTAATATTGTCGACGCAATTACAAGCCTCTGAGACGAAGCTGAAGGAATCACGCTTTGATACAGGTGACGAGATAAACTCAGCGCGTACCGAGATTTCATTTCTTAGGGAGCGCTTGGCGGCTTATGAAATGCAGCTGGAGGAGCTTCAAGCGAAGCAGTACGCCGCGATGGCCGACATTAAGGAAGAAAAGCGCTTATTGATGATGGAGGTGTCTGCTTTGAAGAGTAGTAAGATGGAAGTATTAGCTCAGTGCGAAGAGAAGAATCAACATGTGGCTCAGCTTGAATGTAAACTGTCGTCGTCTTCGAAGCAGCTACAAACCACCATTGCAGAGCTGGAAATTCTGACTTCGACAACAGACAATAAACTAGTAGCATTGCGAACAGAGAGGTCTGTATCCGACGAGCGTTCGACGGCTCAAATGTTGCAGCTGGAGGATCTCTACGCAAAGCAGTACGATGCTGCAGCAATTACCGAAGAAGAGAGGCGCATGCTGGCAAAAGAGGTACTGAGTTTAAAGAGTAATCAGTTGAAGGCGTTTACTCAAAGCGAAGAAAACGAGGAGCGTGTGGCTCAATTGGAGAGTGATAATGTATCATTATCAGAGCAGTTACACGCCGCTGAGGCGAAGCTGGAGGCCTCGTATGTCGAGAAGTCTGCTATAAAGAACTGCTTGTCGGTTCAAACAATGCAGCTAGAAGATCTTCAGGCAAAGCAATACGCCGCAGCAGTCGCCGTTGAGGAAGATAAGCGCGTGTTGGCTATCAAATCGTCTGCTTCGACGAGTGGTAAGTCTTAAGTGAAAGCTGTCTATTATAGTTCAGCAGGTATGTAGTCTAATTTAATGCATGTTAATGCAACAGAATCCGACTTCGCTGCTCGCGATGACGTCAGGCGGAACCCGACTATGTCTAGCATACCTCTTACGCTGATAAGAACGCGAGATCGATTGAAAGTGGAAGCTGAAAAGCGCCGAATAAACGGTAGGCGCGGGAGATCTTCAAATTTATTTTTTATCTCTTCAACTGATTACTGTCCTTGCACAGAGACCAATGTGATAAATCGAAAACTTCGCCGCCAAAATCGTCAACGCGAGACCTAGTTTGGAGCCGATGTTTCGAAAATTGGTAAATTCTGCGGATGTTCATTAGCATAATATTTATCACTTAGGCGTATGATTGTAAGCTTTCAAAATTGAAATTGTATTTCACGTAAAACCGAATACTTCACCTTCACCTACTGAACAAAACGTTACTCTGTTGTCTGATTCCTATGCATTTTGAATTTACCTGCTTCAGGTACTCAAAACTGAGACGGCATGACGCACCGCATCGAATCCAATGGTGCTGGTTTCAGTAAATGGAAACGATCAAAGTCGATACATAGACCTTTTGACGTTTTGACAACACAGCGCTCAAAGGTAGCATCCCAAGCAATGTCTTCGTCAGTGTACGAGATGCGTGCTTGCATGGTATTTGAAGTTGAGCTGTCAATACCTTCCAAGAGAGCGATGATCTCGAGTCCACTCTTGCGTAGGTGATTCATGATTTGCATTTTTGTCGGCTCCTTGTACAGTTGTGTGCTACCTGGCAATCCACCATCACGATTCCCATTGTCAATATCCACTTGCCGCTGTGTCGGATTCGGATACATTGCACACGTTTTCGAATCTCCACCATCGCGTGGCAGACAGTCAGGAGGAAACAACGGACTCCACTGATCGATTCGGTGCACCACCACCTGCGGCAGAACCATGAGCAGCATCGCGCCACAATCATCATCAGGCTGCTGCACTCGCATCTGATGGCATTGGAACAATGTTTCGTTTGGCTCGTCGGTATCATCTCCCACTTCATGTCGTACAGCGTATAGACGAACATGGGCCTCTACAAGCTGGTGCTTTCGCCGTTCGCATGTCTGGAGCATGAAGTAGTAATGTCCACGAATCTTGCGTATCACAGCTGAATTTGAAAACATTATCGTATTTGCCCGTTGCTGGTATAAGACAAAAAAATATGAGCTTATCAAGATATTTATCTGACACACGGCAAGATACGCACGTTAGCACGAGCAAATCGCGCGTAGAAGATGCCGATACATACTGAATCAAGAATAATGCCAGCAAATGACTTAAAAACAACCGAGTTAATCGTAAACACGCTAATCTAGTGTTAGCATTCGGAAACACTGCCTACCTCGAAAGTTAATAGCGTAGCAATCGAGGTACATCCACCAAAAAAAATATCATCCATTGGTGCCCCGTACCCAATCGTCATCTACTCCAATCCATTGCATTTAGTGCAAACGTTGCAAAGTACATATGAAAACTTACAATGGTTTCAAGCGAGAAGACGTAGGCATCTGTGATACTCGAAAGTCCGACATGACACGCCGGATACCGCAGTGATATGTCCATATACGCCAGCGCGAAAAGCAAAATGATAAAAGAATACTACCGCAAGTATTAAAAAGTGAGCAATTCAGTACAGAAGCAGAGACCACAAATATGGTGCCACGCACTGCAATAAAGATGCCCAAGATTATCCTTGATGAGCGAGTGTTGATCACCGTGTGAAATGGATCATCCCAATAAATTCTGCGCCAATGACCACCTTTGCGGTTGACGCTAGCAATTGACGAAATTATATTTTGCTGAATATGAGATTAGCATTCGTACGTACTTAAAGTGGCCTAATGATTGCTTAAAGCGCCCTTGGCGATCTAGAAACCTCGTGCGTTGTACTGCATGCGTCTGACATGATGCAGCGCCAGTGGTCGAGGTCACAGAAAGCAGCGGTTGCTCAACACCCGACATGACGAAATGATTAAGCCTGGGCGACGATGTGGAAGAGGAGCATTTTGATCTGCATCTTGATTGGCTGCTAGGTGAGGATTCTTTCGGTAATAGAAAGTTGGGAGATTTACTCAAGTTGTTCAATAGCAAAGTATCAAAGTTGAGCGCTGAAGCAATGCAAGATATGTAGTCACTATCATCAGCAGATGTCATATACAGATAACTGCTTAAAGATCAAACTTGTTGAATATGTAGCTGTAGACAACATTTAAAAGAAAAATAATTTATCATGAGACATGGGAGCAAACTTTTTATGTCTGTATAAACAAAACAATCGTGAAGTATGGGCGATGAGCTCCTCATGAGAGTTATCAACTGAAAAACTCTAAAATACAGAGCAATTAAGGAGTCCGTGACACTAAAGCTCTTGCCTGTTTTCTCGTCATGATTCCTTGTAGCATACTCATTGTGCTGGAAATAATATGATTGCTGTGGCTTGTTGGGGGATCTGGCCCCATATCATCCAGGTTATTTACACAATGACATCGAGGTTGTCAATTCTATTCCAATTATCAAGTTCGCGATATATTGATTACTACAAGAAATGGTTGCTGTTCTTGTTCGACGCAATTTTGTAGCACCCAAATTTCAGGCAAAGCTGAAAATTGCATCTCGACCGGATCGAATCATATTTGCAGGACGTGTCTTTATACCATGGTAAAGAAAGCGGTGGACAGTAAAACAATTCTAGTCAGTAAACATTGGTGTTGAGATTGTCAACAGACAATCGATACATACACTAATGTTAAAGTATACACCTCAAGCCGATCCCACTTTCCTGAAAAGAGCGAGCTGCTTTTACACGAAGAAATGTAGATTCAACTGTGACATACTGATGGACAGCGATAAACAATACAAACTAGCCGGCTCGGTGTGGCTTAGAACTTGACCCTCCCAAAGATATAGGTGCTTTCAACATCAAAGTATAGTTGTTGCTCTAGAACAAACACCTACTTGATAATCATATTCATCACTGGTTGACCTAACAGCATGACATCACAAAGCCATGACAAAAAGCTCTTTAAAGTGAGTACACATATTGCTAATATACAAGCAAGTTTTTTGCTAACAATTGCACAGAAGTATATCAGATAAATTGTATTCGAGTCTCATCTTATCTCTACTCCGACCTCCTACTTCTGGTGCGAGTAATTAACGCCATTTTGGTCACGATCTCTAAACGTATATCCAGCGCACTTGCCACTTGCAGAGTTCAGAGGGGAGTGGAAGACGTCAACAACACCTTACTGTTCCGGTAATTTGCTGGCCCATCTGTTTCCGTCTTGATCGTGCTGTCGTTTCCTCCTGTTTCAACCGTATAATTATCATCGGGATTAATGTTAACGACTGCATCTTCGTCATTCTTCACCGGTGTGGAGGGCTCAGATTCAGTAGTCTTGATACAGCTGAATACGCTACCCATGATTATATGGATTGAATGGAGATGAAGTGTTTGGTTTGGTCTGACTGTAATTGCGTTATGACAATGATCGGTGATGCGAATTTCTTATGACCATTGATGGATAATTGATGACGAAATTTCCACGCTTAGACTTTTTCTTGCTTTCTGCTATCAGCTAAGGCAATAACAAGATTCCGCAGTGTCTCAACTTGCGACTTTAATTGATCGATTTCAATCGTTTGTCGATCGATCTGACACTGCATCTCAAATATTTTATTGAAATTAGCACTTTGCTTTGATTCGTCACAGCAAAGTACATTTTTCTCGGTAACCTTACTGCAAATCCGGTGGCCCCAAAGGCAGCTAATGGCTTTTTCTTGCACTGCACAAACTTGTTGTAGTTGTCTTACATCTCGTGAGCATTGTATCATACCACGGTGAGTTCTGCAATACCTTTCGCATAGCAGTCGTTTCTTAGATACTCTACTTCTATGGAGCCTTCTTATCTGATCATCCGGGAACAGCTCTGATAAAATGATTCTCCAAAAGCGTTGAATTTTGCACGCAGCTCTGTGCTGTTGCTTGAATCGAGCAGTTCGTCGCCGAATAATGAATCCACGCGCGTGGCCTTGAATAATTTGAGCGCGTGAATCGTTTTCTGATGCACTTGAGGGGATACTAATGGAGATACAATGGTGAAAGCTATACTTGTCCTTGCGGCGGCTTCTGGAATGTAAGATTCGCTGCTGTAACTCGAATTTAGTTTTAACTCGACGAATCCATCTCTGTATTTTCCTTGCGGACGCATTACGAACCATTTTCTCGCGCTTGATCCAAATCTAGAGAACACCATGAAATTGCATGTTTCAAAATATCAAACCAATGTTATTGTTGAAAGTACCTTCATATACTTGCGCATGGTGTTTACTTGATGCGCAAGTTTTCGCACGACATCACTTTCATCGCCTCTTAGCGATGATGAATTGAGCGGCTCGGTTGACGCCAAATTTGATGATCTCGATGGTGTTGTGCTGGAAAGACTACAAGCTGGTACAACTGGAGATGAATATTCAGAACCGTCCAAGTCTTTTGTAGTGAGAGCAGGTGTTCGAGTACCATTTTGTGAGTTCATCGGCAAAACTGACTCTTCTCCCCATCTAACCATCTTTTCTTTTCCTAAGACACTTCTAGCTGAAGTAAATCCGCAAAGTTGCGTCTTGCGCTCCCCTTGAATGGGTTTCCAGACTGTAAGCGTACTGTCGGGAAAAAATGAGTAATTACATTGGTCTTCGAGAGTGTTAGATGATGATGATTTCTGTTGATTCCGCTCAGAAAGCGGTCGATCTTCACACTGAAAAGAAAGTATTTCTCCGCTAGAGTCTGTACTCTTATTGTATGATATCAAACGTCCAGTTACAAGATACTTGATCAGAGGTTCTTCATGGCCTTCGAGTACTGTGCGCATAAGTTCACTAGAGAAATGAGGGTGCAAAGCCAGCTTTTCGTGCCTTTGTCTGGACATGATGAGACCACCATCACTGCTTTGATGTAATTTAGGAAAGAAAGCCGCAAATAAACGCTCGAGTTGGCCACCGCTACGTTCAATTTCAAGCACAACCGGGTTCTCATGAAAATCAAGAAAGACTAAAGATTTCAAATGCAGCCCAAGACAGGCAATGCCACAAATCTATCATGGTAGATTCACTATTACTGAAGAAGGAGAAGAAAAAGTGAAATCATTTAAAGACGCACCTGGTGTATTTGGTTCCTGGCAATTGATAGACGTCGGAGATTAGCAGGGAAAAGTGATCCCGAATTTGACGGAGTCAAGGATCCTAATAGATTATCCGACAAGTCCAGTGACTATAATCCGTCGAAGAAATTGTGAGTAAGAGTATCACATATAATAATATCGAGTAATATGTACCTCCAGTAAATGTAGCCCTGCAAGCAAAGGCCATTTAGTTATTCGGTTGTAGGACGCATCCACAACCCGCAACCCAGGAAACAATCGAAGGGAATTAATTGTCGTTAGGCTGTTTTCGGCGACTTTAAGTATCTGCAATGCAGGTAGTGACGCAAGCATTTCAATTGACGTGACGCAATTTCGAGACAGATCTACACTTTTCAGACATCGCAATATTTGCAGACCATTTAAATTATCCAGCTGGTTCTCCGACAAGTCCAACTATGAAATTGTCATTCACATGTCACCAACACGCTAGTATAAGAGATTGATTAGTTAGTCCGCTCAGACCTGGCTGACATGCTCAAAGACCCCTATCTCATCTATTCTGTGCAATCGATTTACGGAGAGGTCAAGTGCGTATTCAGCATCATTTCCATCTTCGATCTGGCGCCGAATGTCTTCGGGTATTTGTTTAAGCTGTACAATATTCTGTCTGGACAGGTCGAAGCTTTCCATGGCTGTGATAAACGACTATTCAACAATTTTTCGTGATCACTACCGTTTCTGCTTTGTTTTTTTTCTGAACGCACGACGCGTCAATTTATGATCGTTTCGTTTCTGAATCTCATTGAACATGTCATTCATACACATATTCTAACAAATTGAACCAGCACACTGAAAGAAAAGGACTTTTTAGGTTTATTCAACAAGCGATAAGTAGCAGCATGCCTTTCAAAAGAGGAAAGAATGTTAATGGGTTGTGGCCATCTTGTAACGGCAACAGTTCACAATGACATGCTTAATGTGCGGAAACCATGATTATATAAAATTTATTGTTTCCGTTTGTAATATGGAATAGCAGAGCGACTGAGATTTTTCCATGAGCTACGAGATCTTGCTAAAATTCTATGGTAGCTCTGCTTAAATAAGATCCACAACCATCATGAGTGAAGTAGTTGTGCAATTAAGATAATCTGACCCCTCTATGGATTAAAAATGTATGCGCTTTCGTGGTGAATTATTCCACATGAGAAGAAGCACTAGTACCGACGTATTAAAAGGCACCTCATTTGGATTTTCAAAGGGTAAATTTTTCATAGATAATGCGCTATCTTTGCAAAATGCGCATTTCAAAAACTGAAACATTACAGTTTTACCAATTTTGAATACACCTTCCAAGTAGCTGAAGGAAAAGATGGGTATTTTCGCAAGTTGTAATTGTCAACTCGTCAAAATACCCATCTTTCACTGCATGCTTCTACGTTTTGCGAATAAAATACAATGACAAATCTAATTATTGCTGTTCAACTTTACTTATTACTGTGCTGATAGCTGCGAATGAACTTCGCGGGCACGCGTTTCTCCCTAAATGCCCCGACGATGTGAACAACATCATAAAAAATGTCTTTCGCGCCAGATTTACTTTCAGTCATCTCCACGCCACGAATGCGTGCGACACCACCAGGTTTATTGATACCACGCCAGTCTCGTGCCAGCACTTCTACTACATTTCCTCTGCTAAAGATATGCTGAGGATCACGACCTTGCTGCCATGCATCTACGGCTCTCTTCTCCTGATCACTGTCGTCGCTCAGCTCGATATCGAGTCGCCTCGCACATCGAGGCTCTTCATCGTCGTGAGCAATTGCACTTTGTCTGCTTTTACTACGAATCACACGAGTGTCTTTATTGCCACTGCCGCCGATACTATCGTTACGCTTTCGCTTTCTGGTCAATTTTGACGACGAAATGTCAGCCTGCGCAAAATTTGTTGCTTCTGCTGTTCTTGCGTCCTTGCAGTTATTGATTTTCCGACTGCGCTGAGCAAGGTTAGACATCAAAGTTGTATTCAAAGTATCGGCTGTTGTCGACGAAAGTGGGCTTGTGTATTTATTTACGTGATCCGGAAGCTCTACAAATTGCCCCATCCTCGAAATTTTCAAATGACGAGGACACCAAGCCTGATAGTACGGATCTTGAGTGAGAAGGCCGCTGACGAACGCACAAGAAACGTGGTATGCTCGCACACACTTTCGATGTGCACACTGAATTTTGCTTTGTCCCTTGCGGCCACCGCAAATGATACACTTTAACAGTCGGCGCTGTGGGTCGATGAGGTTCATACCATGCACGACTCCATCTTTAAAAAAAGTCTCCGGTGTGAACAATGCACATTGAGGGTGCACAACATTACCACACTCTGTGCGAGTAAAATCGCCACCACTAAGTTCACAAAGCGCACACACTTCGCTGCCTTCTTCTTTTAATTTATTCACAAACATTCCTCCAAACGAGATATCTTCATTGTCACTGTTCGTCCCATCTGTGCTCTTTGTATTTGCAAAAGCATCAGGCTGCTGGCCATCTCCACTCAAATACCCGTCCTCGTCGCTGTCAGCAAATTGGCGCCTCGCATTGAAAAGCTCCTGGTACATTCGCTCATAATTACGCCATTCGATACTTTCAAGCTCTTGCTGGCGGTATACTTTTGATGCATACTCCTTCTCGATCGATTGAGCTAGTTTGGAAAACACAGATTTATTCGACTCCATAACTGAACAAAATCGGTTTTGCAGAGTTGTCAGTTCGGTCTTGATCTCGTCTGACTTATTTTCGCTGTCAGAATCAGAATCATCTACTTCATCCCCAATTCGATCTTCCACGCTTAGTAGCAATGCCGAAAAGTACTCATTTACCAGCGCATCAGTTACCTTTACTGGGAAGTGGCGATGCAGAAGTAGTTCTTGTGCCGGGGGGGCTACACCCGAGTCCTGCGTCATTCGCTCGCATTGTAACGTTGACTTATCGATTGAGAATCGCAGTCGAAAACGTTGTCGACTAGGGAGGTTTTGACAGTGAGAATCTGTCAGATCTGTCAGCTGATCCTCTGGTGTCGTTCGGCGTATTTTGAAGATTAGTCTAGCGCTCTTAGTATCCGCCTTTGTCTTCTGCCCATCCTCGGGTCCTTCCTCAGATTTGTGCCTTCGACTTGTTGATGCTGAGCTCGTTACTTCACTTTTGTCTATCTCTCGTGCTTTGAAGTCGACAACACTTATATACTTTCGCTCCACATTCTTTTCCGCACCGCTCAATACGTAAGTGATATTGTATGTGAAATATAATTTGCCATTTGGCGATACAATTTTGTTCACCTTTTTAATTCGGCCTACACCGCCAAGTTTATTCATCCCAGGCCATGTACGCTTCGCCACATTAACTGTGGTCCCAACTTCAAGAAGTGACTGTTCACCCACCGCTCCTTCTGCATCATTGGGCTCGCTAGATACATCTTTCAAGACGTCAGGCTTAAAAAGCTTCTGTTTCTGTTCAAGATTTTTTCGAAATTCCATAATAAAGGCTGGTATGCGCTCACATCGAGGCATCTGGAGAAGCTTACGAACCTCTTCGTACTCCGGATGAGAGCTCCTCAACCGTAAGCCGCATAAATTTTCTGTCGCTTCCTGAAGCTGCGATAGTGTACGCTTGTTAAGGTTTCGGAGAAAAAATGCCGAGTCTAGAGACTTCCAGAACAATTTCATCGCCACCTTGCCGTCCGACCGAAGAAAAATCCACGGCCAATCGATACCTAGGGAAGCAATCGTGGCATCACCATCACGAATGTCCTGCCTGCTATGTATTGTAGGATTAATAGCCTCAAAATGTGAACTTGCAGTCGCCGGCGAAGTATGAATTTGCTTATCGTGCGAATTGATTGGTATAGCGGAAGCTGCATTTTCATGATCTGAACTGTACGAGTGAAAATGATTTGCTTCATCTTTTTTCTTTCGAATCTTTCGGAACCAACAACGAACAGGTAAAGAGACGGATGGGACCACTTCCTCCTTGAAAGCTCTGAACTCAGTGTTGCGTAAACTCAACTCGTTAAGTGCGTATATTTCGTCACCGTCTTGAAGAACTCCGCGTTTTAGAGCTGCAATGACTGACAGATTCCGTGTTTTTTCGGCATGAAGAAATATTCCTGTGCCGTGCTTGGACGAAGCAACCCCAAGACCCAGAGGCCGACTATGGATTAGAATCATCACAAAATCAGGACTTCTGTCGTCGAGGCAATCCCGTCCATTCATAGAAGGGTAGAATAGAGGTGCAAATACGTCAGCTCGTATTACAACATTACTGTCTGCGTCAGCATTCCTGGCTTCACTAGCAGCTGTATACTGTGGGTAAGATAGAGTTGAATCAACAGCGGCTTCGTAAGTTGAAGAGCTAGAAGTTAGTGGTGCATTGGCCACTTTAATTGAGCGGCAGTTTAGTGTAGATCTATCATTTGCTGACGCAAACGAAAGTTTGATTTGACGCTTACATTTTGGTTTGTTGAGTCGTTGTTTGCCGCAGTTTCTAGGTAAAGATGCACCAAGTGGCTGACGCGACGAAGACGGTAAAGCCAGATATTTATGACTTTCATCACGATTCGAACCATCATCGTTTAAGAGCGAGTCTGGGCAACTACCGCGATCGCTATCGCTACCAAGATCATCATTATCTTCCGTTACATCCTCACTGTCATTTTGAGACCATGACAACTTACGTGACCCAATTGAAATGATGCCATTTTCTTTTTGTGGCACCAAATTTTGAGTATTTGCAACGCCAGATTTATCCAACGTATCCATTTTCAGAAAGTTGACTTGATGTTTGAGGCATCCACTGCCAAAATGACCCTGTGTTAGAAAATGTAAAATGAGTCATTAAAATGGCATGTCGACCAACCAAAAGGATTACCTGGTTTTCAAGATATCGCAACTTGATTCCATTTTGAAGAGCACACAATGCATGATATGCCACTGTGCACTTCCCTACCGCACATTGCGCGCATGCTCCTTTTGCACTGCATGAATAGCACAGCAACGCTTATCAACATTCGACTACTTGCAATAAATCAGCTAAGACCCAGTCATTCACCCACTTATTCTTTTTACAAAAGCAGCATCGCAGTTTTCTTCGTGCCTTTAGATTGTCTACTCCACATACAACCTGTAACGGTTCTTGGCATCGTGACGCAAAATTATTTTGTATGTACAATTCCGGTAAGAACATGGAACAGGCCACATGTACCCATCCTGCGTCAATAGTCGGAAATAAGGCTCCTCCTTTCAAGCAACAAGCTTCACACACGATCTCGTGCGTCAAAAGCAAGTTGTTTTCAACATCATGCGCACCTATATGTTGTCTACATGGAATACAGTACCAGTCTCCTTCTGGCACTTCAGCCAATCGATAGCACGTCTGATGTACCGCGACACCACATATATCACAGATAACCATAGGGTCGTTTTCGAGCGAATTATGAGCCCAGCATACGCCACACCGCATCTCTTCATCTTCCATCCTCGATTGATGCGCTGGAATGGGTTGGATGTGAGACGGAGATGATGATTGCTGTGTCGGCATACTGACTAAGGAGTCTTGGGAAGATAACAAACACTCTTCCATCTTATCGTCTTCTACGTCTTCGTCCTCTTCCTCTAGATCGTCGCCACTCCACACGTCCAGTAATAGCACCATATCTTGTTCGAATCGTTTTAAAGGCTCTAGCAAAAATCGCTCGCTGCAACTTTGGAGTTGCTCTTCAATTTCACGGATATTTTCGCTCAGCAACGCGATCTGATCCCTCTCGCCGCACGTAGCCAGCAAAAACTCTTTCAATTCGCTCAAACGCTCCGAGATGACAGTATCGTGCACCTGAAAATCAAACAGGCTGTGCGTCAAGAGACCCTTTGCTGCTTTTAGTCGACGCAACTCCATCCTCTGCGTGAAGTGTGTGCGGAAAATGAGTGCGGAAAAGGAAAATTGCGCGCCAAAGCAGGACGCACTTAATAAGATATTGCGGTAATCTGAATTAAACTATAGTCGCCCTGTATTTATACCGTCGCGTGCATAGTACGAGTCCGCAAGCAGCAACAGCTGTTGAAAGGACTCGCAGCTGCTTACCGAAGTACTCAATTCATTGACGTTAATCTGTCATACCATAGCTGAAGGCGTGACAACGTCGGTACCTTGCTCGCGAAGATGCTCTTGTGTGCGTTCCTTCACTTTTTTGTCCTTGTTTTATTCGGTTTGATTATGCGTTGAGGATTTCTAAAAATGTTTACGCAATTCGGGGGATTTCTTCTTTCGTATATTCAATAGATTAAGTAACAACGTTTCAATATATGGCTCGTGTGGCCCAAGTTCGAAATGCAACAAAGTGCCCCAACGCTGCCGCTAAACCGAAGATTTGTCATATAGAAGGGATCATAGCATCATTTTACGACGGGTATCCCGCAAGTATAATAACACTTATCTGATGAACAAGTAGATTGGGACAATTCTGCTGTCGCTCACTCGTATGTAGCCAAAGCAGCAATTTAAAAGCTTTGCTATACCATACGTTAGCAAGCGAATCATTGCTACTTTTGCGATCTCGATAACGCATCGTTAGCCACTAGAAAGCGACTGCGGCTCACGAATAATGCCCAAATCACGAAAAAAAATACATCTCCAGTCCCGAAAAAATAAATGATTTTCCAATATTCACCCGTCGTGAGGCAGATTATTCTTTACCTGTAAAGTTTATGCCCTACAATCAGACTAATAATCAGTCATCCATTGCCAATTGAATTCTTCGATATACAGGAACCGGCAGCAATCATGGGGTTAATAGACGTCGTAGCTTCAGCTATAGCATCGTTAAACTATTTGTAGAAAATCTCAATCATAGCGCTCATAAAAGCCTTATACTTTATTTTGAAGCACCAGCTATGTCGTTGCAGCGAACATTTCGTTGTCTATAGATGATAATCTATACCTGTGTACTCTTCTGTGTCTTGACCGACCGACTGTGAATTTTCCGTGCTACGCTGCCGCAAAATTGATGATGAGCGACTATTTGCGTAATGCGAGTCCAACGGGTTAATTGCTACCAGCTCCGACGATGCCAGTGATCGAATAGATTGAATGCTGTACTGCTGGTCTACTTGCTGTGTATCCACATCCATGTGCGAGTTTTGTTGTGTAAATATATCCAAATCGGCATTGCCACTTACAAGATCCTCCACACCCAAAATGTCAGCCATCTTGAGCTGAAAGCGAGCTTGGTACAACTTAGGTGGGATCGCTGATAATCCGTCACCGTCAACACCTCTAAAGACGATTTTGAAAAAACGCTCCATACGCTTTTGCAATGTCCATGTCTGTAAAATGTCAATAACACCAAGATGATAGTAAGCTGGGCCAACGACAGTATTGGCCATACGCATGCCAGAGCGTGGTAGACGCCGCCCCGACGACGATGTGTTACTTTCAGTACGTCCATTGCGACTGCGATTGTTCATGAAATCACGCGGCTTCGAAGCCTTCCGTTGCATCACCGTATCGCCCATGGCCGACCGAGTGCTATAAGATCCAATGTTAGAAGACACGCTTGCATGGTGGCGTGCCTTCGAGCCTCCAGTAGGGCCCTTTGATCTTGCTAAATGCTGTGCTCCACCACCAACACGTGGATCTACTATTACGTTCTCAGATAAAGGATTCTTGAAAACGGAAGACCGCATAGGATTCTTTTTACTTTTGGTACCTTGAGGCTTCGATTGCATCGACGTGTTCGTCGTATCAGAGTCATCATCTGTGCTACTACCCTCGTCCACGACATATTCCACTTCGTTTATACCCATAAGTAGCGAATAGTCCATAATACCAAACGAACATAGCAGGTGACTATCAGCTGATAGCTGCTGGTACAGATCAAGCGCCACGTCGCGGTCAAGATTCAGCTTTTGGGTCAAGTCCGAGTCTTTGAGCACTACATTAGGTTCGTGACCGCCAAGTCGAACTGTACAATTTGCATTCTCTGGAGCTGAATTCTGGTATAAATACTTCCGATTGCAGTGGCGACAAGTCACCTTTTTTCCACGCTTGGGTAGATCACCATGACGATTCACCCACGACCCTTTGATATCGTACCGAGAGTGAATAACCTGGTCTGTATCAAAAAGATTAGCCATGACGACGAATGAGAATTGCTTCCCATACAACTCGAGACAATGGCAACCGTAAAATCGCAAAAGAAGAGAACGGGGGTTGCTGCACAAATAGTCGGCATAGTCTTGTGCGATACTACGCAAGAAAGAACATTCCTCCTTGCTAGTACTCTTCACAATAAGCGAGCCGTCAGCTGAGAAAAACATAAAAGCTCCGCTTGCGCCTTCACTTAAACGTTCCTTTGCAGTGGCCGAAAGTGCCTGCAGATAGGCTTCATTATTTACTCCAAACCTCTCACGAATCTTTTTAAATGCATGAGGCTCATAGTCGTGGAATGTCTTGGTCCGCGGTGAATTTTTGGCTACACGCATGTTTTCATCAAAAGCAGTGGCGCCATTCGTTCCTTCCCTTTCCATGTCATTAGATTGCTGTTGACGGTATGCAGCATAAGTTGCAGATGTACGTGCGCAACTTCCACTTTCCGAAACAGGCATTGCTGTAAATCTCGAAGCAGTCGTCGCTTTCGTCTGTGGCAGTAATGCCAGGTGCTGAATACGCTGGGAAGCTGGGAGACGCTCTGCAGCTTGCACTGCCTGAATGATGCCAGACGTTGTGTAAAACAACACTTCGCGACGCAACGCTGCGTTAACCTGCGGATTCAAATCCACGTCAATTTCTCCCGTATTTTCCCCAAGACAACGCGTAAAATGCGCGACGTGAAAATCATTTAGCGCAAACCAGATAACCAAGTCGAGATATCCTTTCCCAGCGATAAAAAAATTTAGCAATTCACTAGATTTGTCAGGCTTCGAGCGATCGCGAGATAAGAATTTGATATACACGATAACCACGATAATCCAGTAAAAGGTCACCGCAAACACATTAAACCTAGCACGGTTGATGCTCTGTACTCGCACTGCATATGTCTCGGGCATACCTTCGCTCAAACGCTTCCAGGCCCATACCCAAACTGCAATGCCGAAAATAATAAAAAGTCCCATCCAAACGTAAAAGAAGAGCCAGCTGATTATATTCGCATTCACTGCTTTGTAATCACTACTAAAATTGTCTGTGACTTCGTATCCAGACGCACATTCGGTCATATTATCGGCTGGTAAGTTTTTTAAAGCATTGGTCCAGCATACCCCCAAGTCGGAATATCCTGCCCAGTCGTCTGTATTCATCAGAAGTAATCCAAGGACAAGTGGAATGAGCCACGACCCTAAATGAAACACTCTCGTATTTCGCTTAAAGTCTGTAAAAGGGTTCGTCAAACTCATGAGCAAATTAGCCGTCATACAAAAGAACCAACACTCTGACGCGAGCAATGTAAACTCAAATAGCCCAGCAAATACACTGCATGTAGAGCTAGCGCCACTAGCGAAACTGCAGCCACATTGCAAGTTTGTACTCGAACAGAGCGGCACACAGTCGAAGAAGAGACAACGAACAAACTGTTGCGCCATAAGTTGCAGCACAAAAATCGCGTCAGCGATTGTTCGCCAGAAAACAAGAGGATTTGGGTGCTGTCGGTAACTGGGTACGCTGACATATGACAAAATGACGAAGAAAACGGAGAAAATCGAGAGAATCCCGCCCCAAATGAGTCCCGGACTCAAATTATCGTAGGAGCTGCCCATAGCAAGCACGAGTGCTATAACAAAAGCAAAGAACATCACAAGCTGAAACCATCGCGTTGTGGAGTGTAAACACGTGCGCATCGCCGCTGGGGTCGCGTGATCCCCAACGTGAAGCATATTCACGTCAGGGTCCGATACAGTGGGAGATGAGGCGTGCGGTGGAGAGGACGCTGGATCATACGGTCTTTGCCGCTCATCATACATTATAACGTGTGGAGATTGAAGCAACGGAACGGGTTGGGACACGCTACTGCAGCGGTGCGAGGCGGACGTCGTGTTGTTTCTACTGGGTAATGCAGAGAGCATGGACTAATCGAACTTTAACGAAACGCTACGATACGATGACGTCTGGCTTTTCAGGTATATTTTGACATTTCTGGAAAAAGTCAGGTAGAAAAGAAGGTACTATAGAAATGAGTACGGTCTTTTTTTTACGTTTTTAAGACCTTGTTAGTAATACATCCTGCGATATTACTCCGTCCTCGGATAGTTCTGTGGTCTGCCGTCGACTATATCTAGGTCGGTGGATACAAGCAGGATTGCCGGCTTTAACTTAACTTGCATATATCGTGATAAATTTGGATGGGATCTAATCTAACTCAACTTGTCTGGTAATACTATCTATGTGTAATGATTTTTAATAGCAGATCTTCAACTGTGCCATAGAAATATGGTGTAGCAGCATGTAGTCATGTTTCGTTAATGCTACATCATGATGAGTGTTCGTCGATGAGTGTAGTCGGGCACCGGGGGTACAATTTTAGAAAAAAAGAAAGCGTATTTTTTTCCGTAAGCTATAGACCAAACGAGGAAAATTTTGTGAAAAAAAAAAAATTATGCTAGCTAAATATGTGAAACACAAAACATTGAGGTTCGAATTCCATATTGGCCCTAACGCCGTCTTCAATGTTCAGGATTGTAAATATTGGCAAATATGTTCAATTTCATCTGCATCCTCTGCTGTTGGCATTTGCCCGTAACGATAACCACATAAATCGTGAAAGTGATCCCGGTGTATAGTTTGTCGTCAAAACTATACCTCGCACCATCATATTTTCTCATGCTAAGGTGTGTAATGCGCATAACATACCGCCTCGACAGAGTTGCATTAATTATGCGCATCAATCGATTCACATAAGAGATATTTTAAAAAAGTCTTCGTGATTTTGTGTATTACGATAATTTTGCACTAACTATGAGTTTAATTCGCGATAAAGCAAAACAACATGTGTCAATTCCTTTATCGTCGATATTGTCTTCTGCATGTTAGTTACCGAAACAAAAGATCCTGAGCGGCCGGACACCATCGAGTGACGCTTTGTCTTTCATAAACAGTCCCTCCTGGATTGCCGAACAATTGTAAAAATAATCATTTGAAGGTCAGCTTTGTTTCGTTGGATCAATAATTACTTCACCTCATTCGACTGAATTGCCTGAACTTGTCGAATATGGCATGTGTATAGTACAATAACTACTTGTTTTTCCTCACTAAAATGCATACGACAAACCGTCTTTATCGCGAGTCAATACCATAGATCTCAAAGCTCAACAACGAAGCTACTTTTGCAGCCCAATTTTTGCGTAAATTGCTGAAATCTGTTGCTCCAGGTGCTGCTAATAGCAAAAGTTTCACGAAAACAATTGCACACAGCGATTTAAAGGGAAGTTTACTTTGTAGCAAAATACGCAATTTATGCTTTAATTTTGTGAAATATTGGGTTACTGAATGCAATTTTCATTTACAACCCTTCCATGCTCCATGTACAGCTGCTTTACAGCAGGATTTCTGATTAGTGGTTTTGCAGTCCAGAATCTGTTCATTGCATGTGACAATGTGTCGCATTCCGTAACTCGACACTCATT